TCAACCATTACACTGATAGTGGAACAATCCACTGATGAATGTCACACACAGCCTAATCATGTCCCCAGAATTCTCACCTATGCACACAAAAGACCTTGGGGAGATATCAAGACGTAAACCCTACTCACATGAAGTTCATAAAGCCATTGAAAACATTTAGTCAAAGGTTTATTGACTATCAACCTTTAGGACAGTGACCAAAGGAGGGAAAAGGATTTCTCTTTTAGAGGTTGGGCTGGAGCCTAAAGATGTGAGAGCTCTGTCTAAGGGGTGGATTTCTTTGTGTACAGAGAAATAAGATGCAATTTAGAGGAGAAGCAAGTAAGAGGCGAGAAGCCATAGCAGCCACTGCTGGAATCCGAAGGGTGCACTGGGTTTACCACTGGCCCCGTAGTACATAATTTTTCTTTCACCATGGCTTGCATGGAGTCACAATCTATTGCTAATTACTCACATGTATGCACCATTCTCAATGCTGTGTGCTTTAGTCTCCAGAAACCTGCCAGCCGGCATCAAAACAAAATCAAATCCAGAAGTATTTACCAAACACTTACTCTACGCAAGATCCGATTGCTGGAAAGCCTAGGAAGTATTTTTAGCTTTGTGCTTTATGGGTTCACTGCTCCCAAACGTACTGACTTCTTACAGGAACACCACGATGGAATATTCAGAGCACTGTTGCTGCCTTTAAAAGAGCTCCTGTTGGTGAATTCTATGCCTTTCCACTCTGTCTTGCTCTGAGGGAAGAAAACGCAACAGAGATGAACATCTGGCTGTGTTTTGTCCTTTCAGTATCTCATCTGACAAAGTAAATGAAAGTTCCATCTGACCACCCAGTGGGTAAGAACAAGGAGTGAACCTGGAAATAGGCAGACTTACCCTCGTGACCCCTCACAGAAAAAACATCAAAACATTATTGCCTTTTCCTAGGAGCAAGTCGGTGTGTTTCCCATTTTATTATTTTTCAGTTATATCAGCTGACCAAGCCTGGCAAGGTGAATGCACTTGGACCAGAAGTTAGACAAATTGTGCCTTCTGCAAGTTTATTCATCAGCCCACAAGTGCTATGGATTCTTTTTTTGGTACCAGGAATCAAACTCATGACCTCGCACTTGCCAAGCAGGTGCTGTGCACTGAGCCGTGTCCCCAGCCTCCTGAAAGCTCTGTCAGTGGCATCCAACAGAAACATGATGGGAGCCATTTAATGACTTTTTTAAAGTTACTTTTTTAAATCAGGCAAATGTGTAAAGGGATGGGGAACATTTTAGTTAATGACATGTGTACTTAGCATAATATTAGTATCTTTTCAAACCAAATCAAGACAAGAACTATGAAGGTATTCTGCTTGCTTCCTTATTTTGTCTTTGAAACCCAGTGTATATGTCATAATAATTGCATGCCTTCATCTGTACTAGACAAATTTCAGGTACAGAAAAACCAATGCCATTGGTGGCTACCATATTGGACAGTGGGGGTCTGTACTGTGATTGTTGGGTACTTCAGTGTGCTAAAAATGTAATACAAATTTAGTATGTTCTATGGAAATATTACATTGCATAGATCACTTATTACATTGGAATTTGGAAAAAGTGAATAATTTAGAGAATGCATCAAACAGAAAAATCAAAATACGTTAAATATTTTAAAACTTCACATTACAAAACATGTCTCTCAAAGGCAGATGAAAACGAAAAGGATATCAGACTGCAGACCCAGAAACCACTTTATCAGGATATGAGCACAAAGAGTTTCTTACTTTACATCCAAGCAGGAAGGAATGATTTGCAAAATAATCTTTGTAAATAAAATGACATAGGCCTTTGACTATATCCACAGAAATTTGCCAGCAGTTAAGGACATTGGTTGACCAGAAGTCTCAGAAGCCATCTGTGCAAATTTGAAGTGGAAGAAGATGAGAATAACCACTGGAGTAGGTGCTGGGCAGAACACACTGGGTCGAGGGTCAGGGCTGCCCAGAGGTGGTGTCCTCCTGAAGAGCTGCTATCTAACCGGTATCTTGGAGTTCTAAGAGCAGCCTCAGTGAAAAGGGATGAGAGGTGTACAAAGCAGAGGGAGTGGAAGTTGTTTCCTTCCAGTGATGAGAAGATGTCACGTGAGCCTTGGGAAAGTGTAGCTGTGCTTAATCCAGTCCAGGAGAATGGAGCTATAGCCCTGAACAGTGTTCAATATTTGGTTAAGTGTGGCATTAATTAAGATAAATGTGCAAAACTCTAAGGGTGTTTTATTTCCAGAGGGCTAGAAACAAAGGTAGGTGTGTGTATCTGTCAGTTTTCAGTTGGGAAAATAGAATCACTTCTGACAGGTGAAACAGAGGGAACCCAGGGAATTGGCTAATTCAGGGACTCGGTTACACAGATGTTAGAATCATCACAGAGATGCTGGATGGGATCTGAATCAGGGCAGCCAGAAGCCTTGCCTAGTCACAGCAGGAGGACACAGGCAGCCAGGCCCAGCCAGCCACTCTCTCACCAGCTGGGACCACAGCTGGAGGAGCCCTCGGTGGGGGATGAAGCCAGGGGAAGGTGGTGGTGGCCAGGACAGAAGGCAGAAGGGCAAGGCGAGCAATGCTGCTGCTTCTGCTCATCCACACCTGAATACACAGCTGCTCAAGGAGCAGCGCCGGAAATGCAGCCTGCAGAGGTTCTGTCCCCACAGCATGGAGTAGGACAGGGTGAGAAGGTGTGACTGAGAGCAGACAAGCTCGTCCCACCTGCTCCTGCTCCTGCCTCCCATCCTGCCCACACCCCGGCACCTGCCGCACCCCAGGCACCTGCCTGGGCTGGGACTACCTTTGCCCATGCTTCTGCCTACAGCCAGGCCTCGGTTCATACTCTAACCCTCGGCTCCTCTCGCCTCCTGGTGGGCATTCACTAGGGCTTTTTTCTATGCTTTTCCAACACTGTTTTTACACTCCTTCCACATGGCCCAAGCACCCGTTTCTTTGCAGATCTTCATTCCACTTTCTGAAGGAAATCCTTTATGTCTGCCAAGTCATCTCCTGCTAGTCACTGAAACAAGCACAGTCAAGTTTTTGCCCCTACAGCTAAAAGGACTCTTCTGTCCGCGGGCACTGGTCTACTTTGCCACACATATTGTGCCTCTTGGTCCTCATCTTCCTAACCTGTCCTCAGCACTGGCTGAGCACCCCCCACTCCTCCTCCACACCCCTTCGCATCTGCCCTCTGTGACAACAGATTTTCTCCACTACACACCTTCTACTCAGACCCTCCTGCTTCATTTGGAAAAAAAGGGAAAAAAAAATTCATCATGCCCTTGGCCTCTTCCTGTTGGAGGACAACCAGGTTCTCTTCTACATCCTTAGTCTCTTGCCTGTATTCACACCCTTCACAGTCCCTCCCGGGTCCATGTCATTGGCTCCTAAATCACACCTTCGTCTGTTCTTTTCTCCTGGAATCTCAACTCAGCCATCTCCTGGATGTGTTACAGACTCTGCACGCTTAGTGTTCCATACTGAACATGTCACAGCAACAGCCACGTTACAAATACTGTTTTCTTGACCTGCTGGCATACAAATGTCATTTAGCAGACAGAGAACACAGGCAACTTTTGCAGACGCTTAGGATGGAATCCACTCCCTCTCTGCACCTTTGAGAAAATTGAGGTGGAAAAGCATTAAGTTATTAGTCTGAATTTGTTTTCCCCAAACTCACTACACCTTAGCCCTCCATTGCAGTCAATAGTAAAGTCATCCTGCAAGCCACTCACCCTAAAACCTTCGAAGTCACCCTTGCCTTTTGTCTTTCTCTTGCATTCTGGATCTGTCCATCATGTCTATTATGCTGGTTCTGTTTTCAACAGAACTGGGGTCGCAGGATGGCTCATAACCTCAGGGTGACCGCACTGGTTTGCACAAAGCCCTTTACTCACCAAGGCTGTCACAATAGAATCCCAGCAGGTCTTCCCATTTCCGTCTTTGTTTTCCCGCATTGTCAACACATAGTTTCCCCTCACAGTGGTCAAAGGCAGGCTTTCAGACCCGAATTGCTAGAATCATCCTCTACTCAAAATCCTGCCATCTATCTGATCACACTCAGAGTAAGAACTAGAGTCCTCACATTGACCTTAAAGGCCCTACATGATTTGACTCTGTTACCTTTCTTCCAAATTTTCATTTTTTAATCCCTTGAGTTTTTGCTCCATTCACATTACTTAATAAGTATTTGTGAAACAAATCAACCCCATCCTTTAAGAAGTTCACTATCTCCCAGAGGAAAGAGACATATACAAATGATTACAGGCAGAAAACAGTGCTAAAAGCTCTACCTGGCCTCCTGCCCTAACTCCCACAGTTGAGATCCCCAGAGCACTAATGGCTAGGGACCTTGGTGTGGGTTGGGGTGGTGTTGGGGGAGAGAGGAGGACACCCAGACATTTCTAGCATAAAAAAACACCATTTGCAGACATCAAGGTCTGGAGGAATAAATCAGTAATGTGTTTAGGAGATTGCACGCCAAGTAGAAAACTTTCTGAAAATCAAAAATTAAGATTAGAAGAGCTGGATGTCGGATGTAAAGACAGTTAAAATTCCCAAGTTACATAAGAGTCAGATCATGAAATGCTCTCTGTTTGTTCCTTCCCTCATGGCTTTTAACCTGCTCTTGGAACAATTTATTAACTGTACCGTTTTGCTGGGCCTCCTCCCTATAGTCAAAGCAATATTTAGAAGGATTCTAATTTACCAAGTTAAAGATTGGAAAAACACCTAGAGTCACATTTAATTTGACAAGGTAAAGGTGTGGGTGTGCGAGTGTATCACATTTAATTTGTACTCCGTCGTCGCCTCTGATAACATTATTTTTTCTGATCCACTCCGTTTAGACTACTTTCATAAAACCTGATCTCCCTGTCTGTCTAAACACTGATTCACTTGCAGCAAGCAGACTAATACCCAGTAAGTCCACAAGGTGTGAGTTGCACACAGTTTTGTATAAAAGGTGAACTGTGGCTTGACTCGGTCCATAGCTTCCTTCTCCGTCCAAGACAGCCAGTCACAGGTGAGTCTGGGGACTTCTGTTAGCCAGAGATGAAAGCTACTTTTGAAACTGCAGTTTTCAGGACCTGCTGAGGAAGTTAGCGTTTGCTGCCATTGCTGTGAGGAGAATTTATATTTGTTAGCTTCGCTTCTTAAAGGGGGTTCATATATATAATAATCATTAGCAAGCAAGTGACATTGTGGACCTATTGTCCTGGCTTCTGAAAAAATTTCATTCTCTACAAGTTGTGGAAAAAAGGTAAGAAAAAAGGACAAAAGGGTGATAAAAATGAAGAAATCATTTTTGCTATATGCATTTTTTTCCTTTTTTAAACAAAATCAGTCATTAAAAGTATTACTGGGAGACCTCATAAAATGATCATAATCATTTCCTTCAGATGATCATCTTCAAATAGTCAATAATAATACTCTAACCTTTTAATGTCACTCTGCTTAAGTCACTGTATTGCGGTCTTGATCTGCCATGAGTTTCTACCCTGACCAAAAATAAATAAATAAGAAAGAGGAGGAGGAGGAGGAAGAACAGGAGGAGGAGGAAAAGGAGGAGGGGGAAGAGGTAAAGAAAGGAAAGACTTGCTGAAACAGATCAGGACTGGGCAAGATATACACAAACGCCATTTGGTTAGGTCTACTTCCAACGTAAGTCTAATTCTCAAGTGGTTTCTAACGGGATTCTCTGTTTCTAACGGGCCTTACTTATTTGCTGCTCAGACCAGGATGAAGTCCATCCAGTTCTGCTTCTTTTTCTGTTGCTGGAAAGCGATCTGCTGCAATGGCTGTGAGCTGACCAACATCACCATCACGGTGGAGAGGGAGGAGTGCAGATTCTGCATCAGCGTCAACACCACCTGGTGCGCAGGATACTGTTACACCAGGGTAGGTCCTGGGGCTCCGGGGAGGGGCGGGCGTGAGGCTCCATGTGAGGCAAGCTTTGTCTGGTGCCCACCTCGCTAGCACTGTTTCCCCAAGCTATAGCCATGAGCTGCTTCATCAACAGCATCCGTGTTGTCATTGGGCCGATAGCCAGGATGTGAGTGTAGATAAATTTGGGAAAACCTTAAAGTGATCAGATAAATGTGTCAATGTGTTAACTGTGCATTTCCAAAACTAAGTAACTGAATAAAATTTCTGTGCTAAACTTTACATATACAAAGATAAACATGCGGAGAGATACAGATATAGGTATAGATCATAAAATGTAGTGCTTCTCAAAAGGCAATTTCTGAAATTAAGTTCATATCTCTATAAGAGATGCAGTACCACAATATGCTTCCAAATCACAAACAGCAACATTACAAAAATTGTTTTCTTGGCCTGTTTGAATATAAATGCCAATTAACCATTTGAGAACACAGTTGACCCTTGCAGACTCTTAGGATGCAAACCACTCCTGCTGGGCACTTTTAAGAAAACCAAGACTCAGAAGCATTAAGTTAATAGTTTATACATGCAGGGTTTCTTTGGACTGATCCAAGCAGCACTTTCCACTTGTCTGCAGCTTCACTTTATAGGTAGCAGCTAGTTATCTATGCTGAATTTCATGCTAGCCACTAAAATTGAAAATAACAGCTTTTTAATGAAATATACTTTACTTGATGGTAAAATGACCTGATGGATCAAACTCTCCTTATCACACAATTTATAACTCTGACAGTTATACAACATGTAAGAGAGGAGGTCTACAGGGCAGAGAATATTTACCATTGTACAAGAACCTTCACAAAAGTGTTAAGCATTAGGAGGGGATTTAGCTCAGCAGCCTAAGTGCTTGCCTAGCAAGCACGAGGTTGTGAGTTCGATTTCCGGTACCAAAAAAAAAAAAAAAAGACAAACAAAACAAAAAGTGTTAAGCATTAGCATTCTTGTATAACTTTTTTGTACAAACATAACAAGATAAGTTATCTCAAATTTTTTTCTGAGAAATTAAACTATAGTATTTATGGCTTTAGCTGTTATTTAGATACCTTGCAGTAGAGTACCAAAAGTTGACTAAAAATTCTAAAATGTTTCCCTTTCCATCTTTTTTATGTGAAAATCTTTATATTTTGAGAAATAATTTAATATTTTGACTTAAGCATGGGATTAGGAAAGAAATGACTTACACATTTCTATAAGATTTCCCAAGGAATCAGCAATAGCTTATAGGTCACGTCTGAAGCTTTATGGGTGTTAATAAATGTAATAGCCTCAGAATTCAACCTCTGCCTCACTCTGATAGAGCCAAGCAGAATCTTTTAGGTGCTCTAACCTGATTCTCCCTTCCTCACCCCCTCAGGATCTGGTGTACAGGGACCCTGCCAGGCCCAACATCCAGAAGACATGCACCTTCAAGGAGCTGGTGTATGAGACCGTGAGAGTGCCTGGCTGTGCCCACCATGCAGACTCCCTGTACACGTACCCCGTGGCCACAGAGTGTCAGTGCGGCAAATGTGACAGCGACAGCACTGACTGCACTGTACGGGGCCTGGGGCCCAGCTACTGCTCCTTCAGTGAGATCAAGGAGTAAAGGATGATGGACACAGCACAGTCCATGAGGACCTGATACCCAGATGTCTATGTGTGAGCGCCAGGTCCAGGCACTGATCTTGCATGAGGGGACATCAGACTGCAATGACCCCTGCTGTGGAATGGGACCACAGAAGCTGAGGGTGCTGGGGTGAAGCCCACCCTCCAACATCCCACATCCCTCACTCTTGGTCTATAAGTTTTATTCAGTCTTACAGATCTGTGCATTCTTTCCTCTTCAGCAATCATAGGCATCCTCTCAGGCAACCCTTTCCTTTTAGACAGAGGGATACACAACTCCAGTAGACAGGGGAGAGAACTAAAGGAAGCACAGTCATCTTCTGCTAGACTTTGGGGATTGAGGAGCATGGCCCACATCTTCCTCAACGCCTAGCACTGTGCCTAGAACTGGGCAAGAAACCCAACAGTGGCTTCCTTGAGGAAACCAAGTTCAGAAAGGTACAGCACTGGGAAGGCTGAGAGGAGCAGTGTGAGGCTGGCCGAGCACCTACCCAGAAATGCCAGCTCTGGATGTGGTGGCCTCTCTTCTCCCTCTGCTCCTCCCTGGCACATGCACTCCTCAGGCAGAAGTGTCTCTGTGAGTTGCCGGATGCAGATGAGGACAACAGAGTTGAAGATTTCCAAGCTGTTGTTATCAAGCACTACAGCTAAGAGCAATAAATGTTCATTTGGGGCTGTTGAAATTAGCTCACATTATCCACTACTTTAAAAATGAAGCAATTACTTCAAGAATCCCCTTATTTGTAGAAGGGGCAGGCATTGGAAGTAGGTTTGAAAGGCATTTCAGCAACTTTATATATTCAACTCGTCTATGACTCTTTCAGAAAGACTTAGCCAAGGTAGAGGGGACCACTGTTTACTAAGGTCCTCTTCATGTCAGTCTAAGCTTCTGTCTATCTTCTCCCAAACCTATGATATCTTTCAACAGTGTATATATTGAAACTATTTCACAGATTGTTTTCTTTTGAAGTTGGTACGTACTTGTTCCATGTTTATAATGTTTAATTTATTTAAATCTTATTTTTTTAATAAAGATGTTAGCACAAGAGTCATATGTTTGGATTTTTTTCATACACAAATGGATAACTTACTGTGTACTTACTGTGTACTAGTAAGACTGAATAAAACTTATTAGACCAAGAGTGAGGGATGTGGGATGTTGGAGGGTGGGCTAGTACTAGCAGAAAAGAATATTTTAAATATAATTTCTAGTGCTTCTGCATAGTCTTCATCTTTGGAAACATCACAAATAATTCTATTTTCCATTTCTAAAAGTATTTGTCATTTCAATTTCTTATCATTTTTTAACTCATTTCTTTTTGGATGTCATGAAGTAGAAAAGCATACAAAGAACCATACAGTAAGCAGAGTTGGAACACTGGAGTTCATTTCTAGACTTTTGAGACAAAAAAACTAAAGTGGTCCTGTGAAGTAGTCCATTGATACTTAGTGCTTGAAACAGAGAATCTGGTCTGCTCACCCAGCCACGCACCTATTTGTTCCTGGCTGGCAGCTCAGCTACATTTCCTGTGCTTCCTTGCTATTGAGTTTATCTAAGCTCCACCCAACAAGAAGCAAAGCAGAAGTGTTATAAGAGGCTCTCACACCTGGCCCATAAAATCTCCCCCTTGGTGACGATCCACGCCTCTCCTTGCTACCAATATGTCTCCTCCAACCCCTTCCCAGGACCTGGACAGCTCTGTGTCACTGTGACAGAGCCACTGTTGGCCCTGAGCATCTATGTGGAGCAGTGGAACACTATGTCAGGCACCACACATGCGGTTCCCGGTAGACTTGATATTCCAATAGAGTAACTTCTAGAAGGTTAAGTCATCTGGAGGTTTGCTAGGGGGAAATGACATTTAACTGATACATACATTGGCAGTAGAAGAGCAGCGACAGCTAATATCGCTTGTGCCACTGAAGAGAAGAAACTGATGGTGAGAATGAACTTCCCCTGTGAGAAGGTGAGGGCCAGCCTGCTAAGTTCGCAGCTCTAAAGCATGGAATAGCAAAGTGAGCCCTGCAGGCCTGAGCCGACACATCACTCTTCAATAAAACCAATGGGAACAAGAATGAGCCCATTTGTTCCCATATTTCTATGGCTCTTTCTACACTCCAACAGAATTTAGTAGTTTGATAAAGATTATATAGATCACAGTGCAAATAAAATATTTAAAAGTTGAAAATTTACAGGAAGAAGATTGCCAGTGTCTTCTGTAAGGGAAAGGTTCACAGAGCTTGGATGCTAATGGAGTTGGCTCTCACTTTCTATGTATTGAAGAGAGGGATCGTTTGCGACAGACACAAAAGGGAAAAGTCCAGGTATTTGCAGCCTTGATGACCCCAAGTAGTAAGAGACAGGGTGGATTTGAAGAGCAACAGTTTCATCAAAACTCAGCCCAGACCCAAGAGATTCAGGATGAAGCCTTCCCACCCAGACTGTCAAGAGCAGATGCCGATGGAACCATTAAGAATCACAAAGAACTGAAAATAAGTGAAGGTGATAATTACACCTGGGAAAAACTTCTGGACATGTTTCTGGGCACTAAGAATGGAATGGAAGTGTATGGAGGGCACTGACTGCCAAAAACGCCAAAAAATCAGACTTCAATGTTTGAACAAACTTCGGCCCACAAAACGTGGTGATCAGGAGTAAACTGCTACAACTATACACCCCCAAGGAAGGCGACTCTCGTGCCACTTCCAGTGGGGCCTCAGAAGATAATGGGCAAGGGAAGAATGTTCCTCCCAGAGAGAAGAATCGGCACCTAGCCAAGAAGTCTCCTGCACTGCGAGGCACAGGATTCTGTCCACGTCATGCAGGACTCAGTGTTGTTTTATCCAGTGAGCTGTTTCCTATGCTTCCTTTTTGTGAACGGAAGTGTCACTGTGAACAGTGGCATTGTGAAAGCCCATCCTCCTCTATGAATGAGGACGAGGTGGAAGTGGACAAGATGGACAACTCGTCTTCAGCTTCTGGGTGCTGGACCATGGGTTGCCACATCTGGGCACAGTGGAGAAAACTTCGCCAGCTGGATATCAAGGGTCTGGCACTGGACTCGGGAGGGAAGGAGGTGGCTCTATACAAGGGAGGGCAGTGAAATTGGTATTTGTTGGATACCTGGGTAGAGACAGAAATTGTTTTGCATTTGCCAGAACCTTTCCTTATGATGTAGTGAATTTACATTTCCCAGCTTCACTTGTAGAGAAGTTTGATTATGTCACCAAGTTCCGCCAATGGAAGGTTGTCAGTCACGTGTGCCACTTGTAGATTCAACTCACACTGTTACAAGGGAATTGTACTTTCTTCCCTGCTCTGCTGGCTGGAGGTCAATGTTTAGAGAAATCTTAGATGCCACCAATAGAAGATGGCAGAGCCTGCATCAGCCTAGGTCCTGAATGCCCAGAGGAACACATGCACACAGACATACATACATCTCTTTTCCCTTTGAGGCAGGAATAAAACTGTCTTATGTTAAGTTCCTTAGTCCATGGAGATTTCTCCATTAAAGCTATTAAAGCTGCCTTAACTAATACAGCATTGTCTAGTGTTCAAGACACCTAAATACGTGTCCTCATGCCAACCCACACAGACTAAATACACAACTAACTACACAGTGTTGGGGTGTTTCCATGGCATCAGAGCCTGTGCTCTATCCCCTGAGCTCCACCGTTTCTCTTGGGCTCATTACAAGGGTATTTGAACTGGGGAGGTGGGGATCCAATGTGAAAATACATCATTTGGCTGGGACTTCAAATTTAACCCAGTGTACTCATAGGATTTTACCAGAGCTGGGAACTCACATCACAGTAAGAAAAAAATGCTGCTTCTCCAAATGGGATCACTTTCGTCTCTTCCACCCATCTGTGCAAACTGGTGACAGGAAATACTGCTTGCTACAAATGCCAGGAACAGGTCCACAGAGAGGAGACCAAGGATAGAGGCTCCGAGAAATAATTGGAGTTAGTAAGCAATAAGTCTTCAAAGGCTCCCCTATGTACAGTAGATTTAGTTCTATCCTAGTATAGTTTTTTTCAAAATCTAGAACAAAAAATCTTCTTCTCATAGCATTTCTTTCTGTCTCCAAAGAGATGCTGAAAAGATCAGCCAGTAACGTCAATAATAACCAAACAAACTGAGTCATTTGGAAGCAGTGTGCAAAATAATCATGTAGTCTTTGTGTAGAATATGCTCTGATTGTCCACATACTAACACAGGTATTTAAATAAGCTCAGTCTACTATTGCTGTATGCCACCACCATTGGGATGCTGATTAGAAACATCCAAAATAATAGTATATGGCGCATTGAGGGAGTTGATTGTCCTTAAAATAGGTAGAAAACTCATCCTCAGCAAAGGAGCAGGAGGATGGGGCTGCACGGTTTTCACTGTGTGCAAGTCAGCCCCCCTAGGTGAAATATACACTCCACTCATAAACCTCTGGAGACCAAGGACACCGAGGTTCCTCACCACAACGAAGGGTCAGGAGTCACTGCCACTTCAGGGCCCCAAGCTTCCTGCCTGGCATTGCTCTCTGCACAGTAACTCTGATCTCCTCCATGTGGACACAACTATTTATTATGACCTTCATTCAACCCCAGTGAGACAGAGTTAGGGTTCTATCAGGCAGTAAGGACAGCAACCCCCCAAATGCAGTCAGGAAGCCCCAAATGGAATCTGCTGAGTCACTGCCTCCAGGGACCTCACAAAAACCTCCGCCAGCTGAGCTCTGGCTGTCTGGGGCTCTCCAGAGCATGGGCAGGCACAAACCTGGCTCAAGGGAGCTTGGCCCTACATGGGCGCTGTGTGAGCACTTCATGGATTGGCCCCCGAAATGCAGGTGGTTCCCTATAAGGAGGATATCACATTGCTTACACAATGACCTGAGCTCCCCTCCAAATCCCTTAAAAGTCTCTGGACAAATTATTTCCATAAGTGTCCTTCCCAGGACACCCAGCTCACTGCCAGGAGCTTCGTTTTCTCATCTTCTAATCTTTTAAATAAACTTGCCCCCACACTACCTTGTTCATCCTTTCATCCCCTTGAGACAAGACCTTGGTGCTCCATTAACTGTAGCCATCCCTAACATGAATTTGAACTTCTTCTTGAATATGTTAGCTCAAATTACTAAGAGAAGCTTTGATTGGCTCAAATGCCACCATCCCTAGAGACCACTACCTACTCCATTGGCAGACTTCTGGGGACAATAGAGTAGGCTGACCTGGGGGCTGGGGTACCACATCTGTCCTCTCAGTGACCACCCAGAACAAAGAACAGTCCGATGCTGTCTTTTGTTTGGTTTAGTTTTGGATTTGAGCAAAAGAAGTTGAATACAGCAGGTGGATCGATTGTCAGATGGCAAACAAACATTTATCTGAAGTCAGACCCAACAATCATCAAGGCCTTGAAAAGCTCTAAGTGGTTGTTTCATATTTGAAAGAAGATGGTTCGGCCTTTTGAAATAGCATATTGATCTGAATGCAGTCCGTTTTCTGAATGTTGGTGGCAGCGTATGAATGCTGCACACCACCATCACTGTCATGGGACAAGCAGCGCCATGCAGTGTGGTCCTGAAATAGGATCTACTTTGCTCTCCCACAGTGCTTTGAATTTGCTTGGAGGCAGGTGTCCTCAGGCTGCCACTGGGTGAAATTTACCAGACTACCTGATGGTCACTCCTGGCAATAAAGTGTTAGCACTTGTCTAACATAATGGTAACCAAAGCCTCCAGGTCTGTTTAATAACAAGAACTTCAGATCCAAGTTAACACTAAAGGTTTGACATCCTTGAGGCACGGGGATGTGATCTCACAATTCTTTCTCACTCTCTGGGACATCTTTTCTCTGTTCCTGTGTCATTGGTCTCTCTGGATCAGAATTCAGAGAACACAGAAGAGCAAAGGCCATCTTCACCTGTGCTCACTGACAGCTGAGCCTTTCCCAAGCCCATAACTGTGTCCTCCAAAACGCTGCCACCAGCTCTGCCCCCATGGGACTGGAGTTCTGCAGGGAGGCCTCTTCTGGTCCCATTGCTTCTTTAACC